AGTGCGAACACCAAAAATTCGTCTCAAAGTAAGAAAAAGGAAAAAAAATGGGCCAAGCGGGACTTACTGCTATTCTTGAGGACAAAAATGAGGTGTGTTGCTCCAGGAAACACGGCGATTGGTTCCGCGTGGTAGAAAATAGGTGCAAAAGAGTCCTCCTCGAGCGATGAACTCCCGAATGAGGTGGCTGTAAAGTGGCTACGACTGGGGGTTGAGAACAGGAGATGAGGTGACTTGAAGTGGGTCTGTTGTATTGTGTGTGTGGGTGGTGTGTGGGTGGTGGTGATTGAGGGTAACTTGATGGTGCTACTTGAAGAAGGTGTGCGTGTGGGTGGTGGAAGAGTAGCTTGGAAGGTACAACTTGAAGGGGGTGTGTTATATGGGATCCTTGGAGGTACAACTTGAAGGGGGTGTGTTATATGGGAGAGCATGAGGGTAACGACTTAAGAGTGTGTTATGTAAACCTGACTGAGTGTGTTATGTGGGACTTAAGGATCGAAAGTAAGATGTTTCATTTAAAGTGTAGCTATGTATGGGGGAAAGTTCAATTATTCATACCTAAAACCCACTTACATCATCTATCCACCTACCTACCCATCCACAACCACACACACAAACCACTCACCCGCAAACTACACGAACTCAAGTCACACAAACAGACCCACATCCACCCCGCCACAAACACACAGAGAGAGAGAGAGAGAGAGAGAGAGAGAGAGAGAGAGAGAGAGCACCTCTATGACCACACCATTACACTGACCCCTACCATTGTAATGGCTCATAAAGTAACATTATAAAGACATGTCCTCCTTTAACTCCTTCTTACCTCCATCCCTCCTCCCCTTCTTCCTTTCAACCCTCCTCCCTCTTTCTTTCTCCTCCCTACAGCCTTCTCCCATCCCTTCACCCCTCCTGCCTTCCTTCCTTCCTTCCTTCAGCACCTGTAAATATCCATATTCACTCTGTCAGGTGACTCCCCAGCACCAGTGACTCCCCAGCACCAATGACTCCCCAGCACCAGTGACTCCCCGGCACCAGTGACTCCCCGGCACCAGTGACTCCCCGGCACCAGTGGCTCCCAGCAGTGACTCCCCAGTACCAGTGACTCCCCGGCACCAGTGACTCCCCAACAGTGACTCCCCGGCACCGGCTCCCCAGCACCAATGACTTCCCCAGCACCAGGCTCCCCGGCACCAGTGACTCCCCGGCACCAGTGACTCCCGGCACCAGTGACTCCCAGCACCAGTGACTCCCCACAGCCAATGACTTCCCCAGCACCAGTGACTCCCCAGGCACCAGTGACTCCCCGGCACCAGTGACTCCCCGGCACCAGTGACTCCCCAGCACCTCCTCCTCGACCATTTAATAAGAGGAGTGGAGATGCCAACACAGAGGCGAGTGAATGTAAATACCCAACGGGAAGATTAGCGTGGGAGACCTGGGTACTGCCCACTCACACTGACTCAACACCATGCTGTGACCTGACGACACAGCACACTGACTTAACACCCATGATAAGACCTGACAACACACTACACTGACTCACTCGTGCTATGACCTGACGATATAGTACCTTCACTCAACGAAGGTACTGAGAGCCTGTGACCTGACGACACAGCACACTGACTCACTCGTGATGTGGCTTAACGACACACCACACTGACTCACTCAACGTGCTGTGACCTAACGACAGAGTCCAGTGTTATGCAACGTGCGTACTAGAGAGTTCCTACGACACGCTGGGTATAATTAAACACCTTTACCTGTGGGTCCCTACGATGTCTTAACTATTAATGAGCTGGTTAATTATCTGGTCACGTAGGTATGTTATTCGCCCAGGGTCGGGTTCATTAAGGCTGTACTCTCATTCTGTCTCCTAACTGGTGCTAAGTGCCCGTATCTAATTAAGATAAAGTCTCAAAAGTAATGTTGTCTCATACCTGTGCTGAGTAAACGCATCTAATTACCATAGAGTCTCAGTGTAATTATGTCCACTAATTAGTGCTAAAAAACCCGAATATTGCTTCAAAAACAAACATTACACATCAACAAAGCTGGGCCATAAATTACGTGATCATTTGGCAACATGAAACCACACTTAACATCCCTCACATTGTAAAAAGGCATCCATCAGTCGTCAGAAAAAGGCACCAGCTAGGACGACTAAATGTTACCCCATATAAGTCTCTATTATTTTTTTTTATTTAATGGACGTTACACGGTCGCAGCCTCAGTCCTCACCGTAACTAATGTCACCGTCAGATTCATTGCCTCTTTCATCCCCTCGACTCCCAAATTTCTTGTCACTGTGACCATAGGAAACAGGTTTACCAATAGCGGCGTCGAGGGGTGAGGGGGTGGAGAGGGAGGATGGGAAGGGTTGGAGAGGGAGAAGGGGTGGAGAGGGGTGGATGGGGTTTAGGAGGAGGAGGGACGGAGAAGAGGAGGAGGGTGAAGAGGGTGGGGCTGGAGGATATGAAGAGAGAGGGGTGGAGGGTATGAAAGAGAGGGGGTGGAGGGGTATGAGAGGAGAGGGGTGGAGGGGTATGAGAGGAGAGGGTGGAGGGTATGAGAGGAGAGGGGGTGGAGGGTACCATGACTGAGGCGCCCCATGCTCAAGTAGTCTTCAACATGGCTACCAGATGAGAAGTGTTATAACTATCCTACATCATTCCCTCCACCCCTTCCCTCTTTGCTCTCCTCCTCCACCTCTCCTCCCCTCCACACACCCCCAACATAATTATATTCCCCACCAAATTACCGTAAATTATGTAGAAAAAAATACACCCACATATATTGTAAGCCAAAAACATATTATTTAACGCGAATATATAAATAAAAATATATACAAATAAGTAATACGAGTTAAAATACATATACAAATAAACAAACACACAAATTAAGAGTTGCATCCTGGTATTTGACTCAACACCGATAGAAAAACTGTGTTGGGTGTCGAGTAAAATCAGACCATATAGTTTCAAGAGTGAGTGACTGGGAGGGAGAGAAGGAGGGGTGGGTTACTAGTGTTGGCCTCAGGCATTTCCGTGGATAGGGTGAGATGATGTGGATAGGGTGGGATGGTGGGGATAGGGTGGGATGGTGGGAATAGGGTGAGGAACGACACACACACACGACCCAGATATAGGAGAGCGCAGGAAAGTTTGACCAGTTAGGTAAACACATCAAGAACTGGTGGAGTGGAGGAGCTACCTTGACCAGCGAAGCACGTCCATCACCT